CCTTCCTAATTAGTTCCCACTTACGTACTCCTGCCCTTGCAAGGTTCACAACAACCCCAGTACCCACGTTCTAACTTTTTTCATTCCCGGATTTCTTACTGGCCCCTCCCTTACTTCCAGCTGGCAACTCGGAAGGGTCAGTTTGCCCAGGCTTTAGGTGCCTTACGGTCTCTCTTCCCTTAGTACATGCTTCCAGAGCATATATCCTTTTCCTCTGGTTTGGCGACCCGGCGGTTCGGCTGGTGTGCCCCCCACTTAAAGACCTGGTCACTCAGTTTTCCGGTTTCAGTTTCTGGTTCCAAATTTAGTCTTCCTGTAGCACCGTCAAAGATCGCTGCTACTCCAAACTTGGGACTTGCCAAATGGGTTTTTAGTAATTCTGGTTTCTTGAATTTATTACGCTAAAACTCCCATTCAAGATGGTATGACCAAGATTACAGATATCTGGATCTAACTGATAATCTTAATGTTAACCAATACAGATCTAGTTTTTTCAAAATCGTCATCCGTGGGATTCGAACTCTAGACCTGCCGTTTGGAGTGCAACAACTCCACCACTTCACTAAGTCACCACACCCTATCTGTATCATATTTTACTATGCTTACTTACTAGTTAACTTATAAATTACCAATTATTAGTAAAACTTAAACAAATTTTAAAATTACTTTGTAAAATAATAAAAAAAATTGATTTTTGGTTTATTTTAAAGTTTATCTTTATTTTGTAAATAGGTTTTTTTTTTTTTGTAAATAGGTTATCTTTTTTTCAAAAGTGTATCTTTTTTAAATATATTTAAAGATATTAAATAACTTTATTTAGAAGCTAAATTTTAAATTATTTAGTAAGTTTTAACAATATAGCTACAAAAAAAAATTTTTTTGGTTCTGTTTTAGTAAAGTAATTTATAGAAAAAGTTTTTAAAAATAATTAAAATATTTTTGTTTAAATACTAAAAACTTATAATATAATTATTTTTTAAAAAATTTTCAAGATATTTAATTTTTTTTAAAACTTTAAAGTTTTTTTAATAATTATCAAATCAAAATAAATTTTTTTTTATTTTAATTTTACATACTTATAGAATTTAAATAATATTTTTTATTAATATTAATTAAATAGTTGATAAAAAACTATTACTAGAAAATATAAAAATATCATGAATTATTACATATTTTTTATATAATATAGCCAATCAAAATCAAAAATTTGCTATAGCAATTTTGTTGTAGCAATTATAGTTAAATATTCTTTATTTATTGTTATACAATAATTTTTTACAAATTTTTTATAACCCATAATCCAAATTAAATAATTTTGATACTATATGATTTGTCTTGTTGAGATGAATCAAATAGCATTAAACTTATCTAATTTGGATTACTGGGTTACAAGATATACAAAATTTTGTAAAATTATATATATAAATTTAAAAGATTTGAATTTTATTTTTATATAATAGAGAGGAAAAGAATTATGAAATCCTATATCTAAATTTGTAAAAAATCTTCAAATCAAGATAAGTTTTAACTACTTTAGTAGATTTAAAATAGGTCAAGCTTTTATTTTTATTACATGGCTCCTAATTGTTCACCCATGACCTTTTTTACTGATATTCTCACAGTTGACATTTTCACGGCTGATATTTTTCACGGATTTTATGTCCGCCGTGAAAATATCAACCGTGAGAATATCAGTAAAAAAAAAAGTCATGAGTGAATAATATCTTGATTGATCCGTGATTTTTAATGATATAATCTAAGATAAAACGTGAAATAACTACAGTATTACATACTGTATAATTTATATTTATTTATTATTTCTTTTATATCTTTAATAAATAATTTATATAGGTAGTTATATAGAAATACTATATAAAAACTTAATTTATATACAAATAAATAAATATAAATTATATGTAAGAGTAGTTAAAGACTTATTTAGATTTGGATAGTTAGAACATAATTAATAGAGATGCTATATTGAATTCACTTAGTAAACCAAATATCAAATTTGCAATTAGTATAATATTTATATATTTAAAAAGTGTCTACAATAATATGGCAGAGTACTTTATTTACAATAATATTATATTAACTTCTTTAAATTTTAATTAAATCTATAATAAAAATAAAGTTATATAAAATATTTTTCAAAAATACTATAAAACTAATAAAATTTATCTTATAAGGACAACTCATACTATGCAAATAAAACCAAAAGCTAGAGTTGAAATATTACAGTATTTAGAACTTATATCTATTAAAAAGTATGTACCGTAAATTCTCGAAATAGGGCATGGGCATTATTTCGAATTTTGGCTCGAACTAAGCTTAATCGGGTCAAAATTCGAAATAACGCAATGCCCGCTATTTCGAGAATTTACGGTATCATTTTCCCTTTATAAAGAATAAGTTACCAAAATTGAAAGATTTTAAAGTTGACCTTTTTTTTAGTCACGTAATTGCTATGTTTAGATTATTTCAACCTTTAATTACAGTACGTAGCATTATATTTTATTAATATTTTTTAATCAAAAAATAATAATAATAAAGAAATTGATATAATAACATTAATCAAGTTTTTATTTAATTTCACACAATTTCATCACACATTACAGCATTAATTTCTACTTGTCAAATTTTACTATCTCTTCCTCCATTAGGTATAACAACAACTTTACCATAAGTTTCTCTATTCGCAATAGCTTTTAATCCATATTTAACGTTATGTAATCCATGATAAGCATTTTTATAAATGACAGATTTTAATTTTTTTTCAGCAAATAATTTAAATAAACCGTTCCAAACTTCTATAACACGTTCAGGATCATGTTTTGTATATGAACCATAATATACACCAATAATTGAGGTGTTTTTAAGTAAAATCAAGTTAGTAGGGACCTTTTCAAGATTATTACCAACGCCGGCGAATCCAACCACGAGTATGCGACCACTCCATGCTATTTAATGAATAAAAATGAAAATGTGAGCGCAAAATAAGAAAAAACTAATTAAATAATAATAGGCTATTTAAACTTAAAGTGAATGAATATTTAAATTATTTAAATACCTATGAATTTAAGAGATGCTTGAACTAATCCGACAGGATCATAAACGACGTCTACTCCACGTTTACCAGTAATTTGTAGTACTTGTTTTTGCCAGTCTTTATCATTATAATTAACACCATAATCAGCACCAAATTTTTTAGCAATAGCTAATTTATCATTTGAACCACAAGTAGCAATTACTTTGGCACCGATCGCCTTATTATATGAATGATTATGCAAAATTTTTTTTTTTTTTTAGAAAATGATTGTTAAATTAATTAATATCAAAAATAAACCTAGAATAATTCACCTTTGCAATTTGAACAGCAACTATACCAACACCACCCGCTGCAGCATGAACAAGACACCATTCATCTATTAAATTAAAAATGTAAAATTAAAATATTTCTATTCTTTAATTAGATTCTGACGAAAAAAAAAAAATCACATTTACCTTTTTGTAACTTTGCTCTAATTACTAATGCAGTATAACTTGTAGGATAAGTGATAGATAATCCTGAAGCTTCTTCGAAGCTCATACCATCAGGTATCGGAAGAACGTTTTGAATATCTACAGCGATGCGTTCAGCAAAAGCTCCTTGAGCATAACCGAAAATTTTATCACCAGGTTTATATTTATTATTAACCGTAGGATGAACAGCAATAATTACTCCTGCAAACTAAAATTTGAAAATATGAAAACACAATTAGAATGTATTTGATAATGATAATAAAGGGGAAAAATCGACGCACATTTTTTCATTATCTAAAATTCAAATATAAAATTAAAAAATAGTGTGTCAAATTATTTTTAAATAAAAGAACGTACTTCAGTACCCAGTATGAAAGGGAGGGGATGTTTATCTTGATATCTTCCTTGGCTCTATATGGTCAATTACAAAGCGGAATGACTAATCAGTAAAACTTTTTTGGACAGAACTCATCATTCTAATTAGAAATTATAATTTTCGGATTTTTTCACTTGATAGGATTTAGTCTTTTATGGGCTTCCAAGTCGTGTGACGAAACAAAGGCCAAAAAATAGTGTTTATAACTTTTTTAAAGAAAAAATTATGAAGTATTTCAAAGTTTTCTCTTTGTTATCCATTAAATCAAATTAAAAAAGAATGTTCATTACCTGTAAGATATCAAAATAATTAAGAGCGGATGCTTTAATCTCGATTAAAACTTGATTTTCTTTTAACTCAGGTTCGGGCGCATTCTGATCAACTTCAAGTTCATCGATGATTTTTAGTAATTTGCTTATTACGATGGCTTTCATTTTGTTACTTTCTAGAGAATTTGATAGCCGTGAGACAATAATGCTTACAAACAAATGTCTATTTCTATGGCTATATATAATAAGTTAAATCGCGTGTCACGAGTATCTATTACGTATCCTGATAATACGTATGATAATCAAGTTTTCAGATTATACTGGGTTGGTAAAAAGTAGCTGAACAGTGGCCTTTTTTTAATCACTATATCATTTTAACAATGATTGTGGCAGATTAAAATGAAATCGGATTAAAATAAAATTTTTCTATTTTTTTAGGAAAATTTAAAATTTTTTGGGGGGGACATTTTTTAGGGTCAGGGTTAGTGTTAGAGTTAGGGTTTAGAGTTAGTTTTATTAATAAAAGAGTATAAGTGGGTTTTATAAGCTTTAAAGATGAGCAAGAAAGGTCCCCAGTTTCATTTTAATCCGATTTCATTATGATCTGCCACAATGATTACTAAACGTTAAAATGATGTAATGATTAAAAAAAAGGCCATTGTTCAGTTACTTTTCACCAACCCAGTATAACATTATTATAATATTATATCGATATGGATTTCACCAACAATTATACAGTAACGTTCCCATAAATTCCGGAACAAACTAAAAATTTGCTATTTCCCAAGATCATATTCTAAGAATCGCAAACTTTTTTCATCGGTAAACAATTATGTAAATAAGTACATACTTTAAAAAAATAGAATTTGTACGTCGCTTCTTTTGAATAAATACGTCACTTATTTTATCTGAAATTGGACGCCGAATCATTAATTCTGAAACCCCCATTGTTATATTGTTCTCATAATTATGGCAGTATTTTTTTGATTCGCATTTCTTTTTTTTTTTTATCGGATTATGCCCATTATAATAATCTAATTCCGAATATTTACATCCAATATTTTACTTTTAGTTTAGTAATGAAAATAGATGAATTCATTATTCATAAAATGGAAGGTATTTCTATTTTCTTGGTCAATCAATGCTTTTTCTTATTTTGTACAGTACCAGACTTTGATGTTAAATAAATACATCATAATTGTTCGATTTGATACGAAATGCACATATTTTATTGCAAAGTATCAAGGAATTCAAGCAAAATACTTTTATTATGTTCATTAATCGCATTCTAATATAACTGTCCAGCTATCAGTAATAGTATTTGGGTATGTCAACTTTATAACGAATTTTTTTGCTGCTACAATGAATTTTCGTGAAACACGTTAAAGTTAAAATTCGTCATAAAACATTCTTTTGCACTATATGAAATTGTGGTAATTTTCAAGTAATGGGTAATTAGCGTGTTTCTCAAATATCTCATAGAATATGCGCATTACGCGTGATGCGCGAGTTACGTAGAGATCAATCTGCAGGTTGATATAAAATTTCCTGTTCAAATCTTGCAAAGTGGTTTCAAATTTATCACCTATTATTATAGTGATCTCTTGAATAATATCTGGTATAAGCGGAACCGTTCTCATTAATATCCAATGGCCTGGATTATTAAAGTCGTTCGATTATACACGATGACCGATCTTTTCAAACTCTACCTTCGATAATATGATTCAAATGTGAAATGTGTAATGAATGATACAATATCGACAGAAAAATGACAATACTGAAATAGGTAACAGCTCCAATGACAGTAATAATGTCAATAAAGCCACAACAACAAGAGTAATAATGATTTTAGAAATTACAGTATATACTGCATTTATCACTTTCGTTATAGTGAAATCTCAAGTTGAGAGTGACTTTTTACTATAATTATTATAAAAAGTTCTAATACTGACGGAACACGTTAATCTCACATCAAAAATGTTAAGACGACCTTTTAACTCTCATCGATCCACATAATTCGACATATGTCAATTTAGTATATAACGATAAGCATAAGATCTATCGCTATATTGCTTTGCAACGAAAAAAAAAAGCAGAAAAAGAAAGAATAAAATAGAAAAAAAAATAAAAAACCACGGTTTATAAATAGTTATAATAGAACCTCGAAAAAGTCGAACATTCTTTAACCAAATTATTGCTTATTCTCGGACTATCTCAGATACAATTCAAAATTTAACTCGATCAAGCTCGTCTTTTAGGTTAATTACGTTCTACGTCGAGACTTTTCTAAAGTTATATTTTTGGGACTGTGTACTTGTGCATCTCTACTTTACGTAATGTTCCGTGCTATTGTTATATCCTTACTTTCGTGCTATTTTTGACACATTCCGTATTTAAATAGGTTTATTAGTTATTTTCTCAAAATAAAAATATTTTATATAAATGTTTGATATTAAAAATTAAAAAGTCACAATAAATAAAGCATACACTTAGTCGTGTCCTGAAAGCCTTCTATAGATATACGTCCCGTCATTAACTGCTTACAGGAGGTGCTAAGCTATTTCTTCTCTAGAATATGTAATATTAAGCATTTAAATTAAAAAAAAAATTTTGAGTATAAAAATTTTACCGTGTTTTTAATGAAAAAATAAAAAACGAAAAGTTAAATTATGATGCGATCAAAAACAACGCGTAACTACAGAACTAGCAATTTTATAAATCATCCCTCATAGGAGGGCATTCTTTTGATTGGCTGATGTAAATCCAATAAAAAAATCGGATTCACTAATTTATTACGTAATATGCTATGCTTAGGTTCGAGATAAATTCATCAAACAGGTCGTTTCATAGTTCTGTAGTGTTGTGGTTTGTTTGTGTGTTAGGCTGTGTGAGGCTGCCATAGCAGCCCCAAAGCCTCCCAAGGTTGTATCAT